GAAATTTTAAATAAAACGCAAAATTCTTAATCTTCATCAATATTTATTTTATCTCCTTCAAAATATGCTCCATTAGAAGCGATACACAAATGCCAACGTTTCTTCCAATCATCAAAACATTTTTTATAGGCGCTTTCCGGTATGGCTTTGAGTTCCCTCTGCGAATTCTGTTTTACGTCTTCTATGGATTCAAAACGCGTTCCTCTGAGTGGTAATTTAAGTTTGGGAAACAGGAAAAAGTCACACGGTGCAAGATCAGGTGAATACGGTGGCTGTTCGATGGTATTTATTGAATGTTTGGCCTTAAAATCGATGGTGTTTTTGGAACAAATTGAGGTGAATCGGAACAAGCCGAGCGTTGACACGTCGCATACCCAAATTGTCCACCAAAATCAAACGAGCCATCTCACGACCGATGCCTAGCTCTCGTGCTATCTCTCTAACACTCACATGAGGATTTTGGAACACGATTTTCTTTGCCTTTTCAATGTTTTCGTCGGTGGTAGAGGTCGAAGGTCGTCCAGAACGCGGCATGTCTTCGACGGTCGTACGACCGTCCTGAAAGGCTTTGTACAACTCATAAACTTGAGTTTTCGATAAAACTGATTCCCCATAAGCCTTTTGTAGCATTCGCAACGATTCTGCACACGAAATTTCGTTCGAAACACAAAATTTGATGCAAACCCTTTGTTCAATATTTTTTTCCATTGTTTTTTTCGCAACGCACTACTGAGGTGAACTGGTTTCAACAGCTGCCGTAAACGAACTGTCTGACAGATCGCGCTCATTTTTGGCATAGTAATTAAGGACAGCGCTGCCAAACTACATAAACTTAAAATATCGAAAAATATACAGCGCGCGAATTTTAAATGAGAACCTCCGAAAACCTTTCGGTCACAATGTATTACACGGACATTTGAAGTCGAATAATGTGTGCTAAAATTATATTAGACGAAGATGAAATAGATTTGTATTAGATAATACAAAGAATATTTTTTTAAAAAGTATATATTCTAAAACATATACATATTTACATATATGTGTGTGATTAAAGAGTTTTTGAACTATTTTTTAATGCTATACACAAATTTTTTATGGTTGGTTGGAAGGTATCCTTGCAATGCCCATAAATAGCAATTATTCAACCTTTTACTAACATAATTTTGTCAAAAAGTCTATTTCACAATATCAAAATTTGATTCTGTTATCACCGATAGAAATTGTTTTATTGTCTATCGGCATTAGACAACCTAAAATAGACAATTATAAATTTTTATTATCTAATAATTTGACTGGTAATTTAAAGAACAAACCTTAAAATACTTAAAGTGAGTAGTTGCAGGAAATCAACGAACTCAAGGTGTCAAACTAATTTGTATGCTTTGGGCCTTAAATAAATTTTTGGATATGGCAACATCTTTCGATACATCTGACATTTATATAGTAAAACTTGACATTTTTTAGCACAACTCTAAACTTTATATAGAAAAAAAATCAATATTTCCAGGCTTTTGTGAGATTTTAAATTGAAGATTTAAATTAAAAAAGTTTAAAAAAGTATAGAATACATCGAAAAACTTGCTATACGCACATAAGCACACTTCATCAAACAATCGATTTGATATACGCTGATCAAAATAGTTTATCTGACAACAGATTACGGAACCAATTGCAGGAATGGATCTACCAACTGATGTACAGTACATATTATTTGACAAATTGTCGACGCTGGAATTGAATGCATTGCGAAACACATGTATGCAGTTGCAGAACTCCGTTGATGACTATATCAAGTATAAATGTGCTGTCAAGATAACAAAGACCGATGTGTACTCCATTGTTTTTAAGCACATCTACGATGTTGTGAATAAAGTAATTGACGATGAATCGGAGAAACACGCATTCATGTTGAATGTCGTTACCATAAACTGTGGCGAATTCTATTTTAATGACTTTCAAGATGTTAAACATGTGCTGGAGACATTAATGTGTCGTGTACAGAGTCGTAAGAAGGTACAGAAGACGAGTAGAAGGTTGCGATATATGTACTATAACCTGACGGTGAATATAATACTTGACGAGCTTTATGAGAGTTTCCCCTCGGAAAGTTATGAATCACATATATTGGATATAGAACAAAATATCATAAAAATAAATTTTTAAAAAAAATTGTAAATGTAGTAATACATCAATACTACTTCTTAATTACAATAAAAATATAAATGTTTTTATGAGTATATGCAATTTTATTTCAGTTTTTTGTTTTTAAAATTTTGAGAAATGGCAATTGGCTTATTGTAAAATAGATGGATTTTGCCATCCGAATTTTACTTGAAAATCATAAAAATTTCTTTACTGACATCGAAATGATCACACCGCTTGATGTTCGAAAAATGATACATTAAGAGTGTTAGAAAATTTTGAACCTTGATTGTAATTATCCTTGATTATGCTTCATCAATTTATTTAAAATTTCAATTCAAAAGTCAAAAGCTGAAAAATGTAATAAAAGATTTCAAGACTATTTTCGTTACTCTGGAATATCAGATGGTGAATATTTTAATATTTTTAGAAACAACCAAAAATTATGAAAAGCTTGTGCATTCGAGAACTACAAATTACAAATACTTTCGATAATTGTAGCGTACATTCTGGTTTTTCAACCAATAATTTCAAATTGAATTAGTTATATGATTATTTCAATTGAGAATGTTCATTTTATTTTGTTAAATTTCAAGTGTCTCACAAGCGGCCACTTGCGGGGTATAAGGCTCTTTACACGCCCTCTTCTACTAAATGACATAGAAGCTTAGCGTATTCAATGGAGATTCAAGGAAGATTGCACAAAATCTCTGGTCTCGTAAAAGTTTAAAACGAGTACCAAATTAGACGAAATGCTAATCCGTATAAGTTTAATCAGAACACTAATAAAGTTAAGTATACTAAAATTTAGCAATTTCGTTGCTAATTAATAAAAATGCGCCAGTCAAAAAGGATTTTATTTGGTGCTGGTACAAAGAAAGCCTTGTGGCGAACATCTGGTTAGGAAAGTTTTTGATTCGGTATTCGTTTGAAAAAAGAGTGGTCAAGGATCACCGATCAGATGTTTGAGGTGTTTGAGTCGACACTCGCTTATGGGAAACGTTCACATTTTGGATAGAAGAACCACTCATATTTATAATTAGTTAGCAGTTTAGCCTTTTAGATTTCACTGACTACCAATCGATGATAATAAACTACTGATTTTCGCACCATATACTTCGATAAAGGTCAACTAAGTAAGTTTATTATAATTATACATAATAATAAACTTACTTAGTAATAAATTAAAAATTTACATAAAAGAACCGATTGTTGAAATTGTTGACTTAACAAAATTAGAATGCAAAATCTAGATATCCATAATCCCTTATTCGAAATTAAACTAGTTTCAAAAATAAAAAAAATCAGATTTAAATGGCATACAGAAATATTTATATATTTATTATAATTAAAAAATAGTTTACAATTACTGTACATGCGAGTATAATGAAGTGCATAATTACTTCATTTACAATTTTTATATGCATTTCTTTACAATTATAGTATATCTTATTTTACGTTAATAACACATTTTTTGTCAATTTAAAATTCTTAAAAAATCAAACTCAAATTAGTTAGCAATATAAATATAGATAGTAAAATAATTTAGGGCTTCTCCAAGATTTTATCAAATAGTGATCCAATTCTGAATAATATAAATTCAAGGGGTAGCTTCTCCATAAGCTCATTAATTATTTTAAACACCGTCAGGTTATAGTACGTATATTGACCACGCAGTGTACTCGTCATTTGCACCTTTTTACCATCTTGTAGACGACACTTTAATGTCTCTAGCACATGTTTAACATCTTGAAAGTCATTAAAATAGAATTCGCCACAGTTTATGGTAACGACATTCAACATGAATGCGTGTTTCTCCGATTCATCGTCAATTACTTTATTCACAACATCGTAAATGGACTTAAAAACAGTGGAGTATACATCTCCCTTCCTTATTCTGACGGCACATTTATGCTGGATATAATCATCAACGGACTTCTGCATTTGCTTACAAGTCTTTCTCAGGGACTTCAATTCCGGTGTCGACAATTTGTCAAATAATACATGTTGTACTTCAGTTGGTAGCTCCATTCTGTGATTGGTTCTGTAGTCCTTTGTTAGATGAAGTGTTAATCTGCGAATATCAAATCGATTGTTTGATGAAGTGTTGATCTGCGTATATTAAATCGATTGTTGGATGAAATTTATTGGCGAGCGTATATCAAATTATCCGGTGTGATATATATAAGAGTTTTTATTAGTTTTTCTTCCACCTTATTAAATTGGTATAGAGATCTTAACCATTCGCTTGTTACTTTCTTATTCACATCCTACCGAATTATGATGCGCTTTTATATGAAAATTTTTTTATTTAAATTTAAAAAACTAAGGTCAATTGAACAGGTATAAAGATATATGCTTTGGTCATAATGTCTCTTTAAGTTCATATAATTCCAATAATTCTTTTTAGGGCAAAAATACCTATACCTTGAATATTTTCCTGGAAATATTATCCACAACAATTGTTGTTGTTATTTATATTCTGCAAAGCAGTAAAGGTACCACCCCGACAGCTCTTAATATTTATTCAGGTATTCAGGTAGCTACCCAATACTTGGGTATACAAGTGGATTTCTATAGTTTGCATATTTCACGCTAAGTTATATTTAAGAGTTATTTAAGTTATTAATAAGAATTATAAGAATAATAAGAATTAGAAAAATATAGTGAAAATTACTAATCTTGGGTTGAAGTATAAAACAATTAGTTCCCATTAATGCGTTTAAAATATTTGTCTGATATAAAATGCATAATAAAAATCTTGTCTAATATTAATTGGATGTAACGAACTTCAAGCATTTTATATAAAATTCCTTTATATATTCATAAATGAAAATGTTACACATTAGTATTATCTCTTAAGTTCACAATATTCCTATTGCATCGATGAGGTAAGATTTGAAAAATTTTTAACCGAAATAAAGTCCGCAATAAGTTGTTAATACGAGTATGCCAACTATTCACTTTGAATACAAATCCGCAGCCAATGATGAAAGCAATTTCTATATAGAATTTGAAATTAACGCGGACTCTGGACCCTGAGATTCAAATTTGGCAGGGAACGAGTGCAACCCTTAGTACTTCCAGTCTCAAAAAAACTATTTAAGAATTAATAAATACAAGAACTACCTCCAAGACCACTGATAATGGGTATTTGATAATACTCGAAACAGCTATATAGTCAGCCCAAAAATTCGATAAATTAAATAATACAAAAAAGAACTTTTGTTGTTGTAGTTTACTACTTTTCGAAACCTCTAGTCAACGCCGTCAAAACAGACGTTAAAATCAAATTTAATAACAATTTCCATAAAAATATTTCTCCATATTTATTTTCCATAATTGGAACACATAGCGACATATACTTATTCACTTTAAAAATCACCTATCAAGACTATTTGAAACTTTTTCATGTAAACTAAATATATAATTATATAAATAAATATTGTTTGATATGAATAGATATAGTCTTATTTGCTAAATTGTTCAAATCTGAAACTATTCAAGTAATAAATAATTGTATGTTATATTCATATGATGACAATTTTATACTCATAATCTCATTATAGATAAGTTCCAAACGTTTCAGGTATTCTGTAGTATATATTATTGTTTTACTACATGCTATAAGGAGTATTAGTTGTCTATAATTGTTGTTTTATTTTGTTTTTGTTATGATATTCAATTCAGTTTTATATTATTATTCACGTTATCAACGCTCTCTATATGGAGATATATCTATGTGTTAAATCCGTTCCTCCTATCTGGTCAGCTGACCTCTTAATTTGCATGCAGCGGTTTGCATGCTCGCTACGATAAACCTGGTATGTAATATTAACGTTTTAAATATACTATAATTTATTATATATATTTATTATATATTTATATTAGTTTAATATATGATTATATTGTATAAAATTATAGGTTGCAAATAGTTTGTTTAAAATATTATTTTGAAAACATATATGTCTGCATGTAACTGTATCACTTTTAGACAAACATAATCTGATCTTGCATCACATTAACATTACATTAACAGTTTTGAAAATACTGAACATTTAACATAATTCTGTTTCTAAAACTAACATTGCGGCAGTCATTAACTGATGCACCAAAACTCATATTTATACTTTATTCTTCTATAGTAAAGTTTATTTTATCTGTGGTTAAAGCTGGATTAAGTTCGATTTTTTGAGCGGATGTTGGTAAATAATTCAATAAGAGAATTAAAAAAACGACAAAAATTTCAAATAAAATCGATTAATTATTTATTTGTTTACAAAAAATTTGTTGCTTTGTAGAATTTATTACTAGGCAAACGAAGTAAGGAAGTGATACATTTGTTTACATTTAGAGGAAAAAAATATAGTGAATTTAGCTTCCGAAGCACAATTTGTTTAGTTCATAAGATTCGAAAAAAATCAATAAGTTCTTATCCAAAAAGTTGCATATTTTAACTGAAATTTTTGTGATCTTTTTGCAAATATACGTCTTCGAAAGTAACATTAAAAAATTTAGGTAAGTTATAATTTTCATTCTCTTAATTTTCGTTTAATATTTCTGATTTTTTTTATTTGTACATATATATAATTGTTCTTAAATTCAAATTAAATTATATGCCAAATATGATAAAAAATTGCTTAACAATATTACACGGACATTTGAAGTCGAATAATGTGTGCTAAAATTATATTAGACGAAGATGAAATAGATTTGTATTAGATAATACAAAGAATATTTTTTTAAAAAGTATATATTCTAAAACATATACATATTTACATATATGTGTGTGATTAAAGAGTTTTTGAACTATTTTTTAATGCTATACACACATTTTTTATGGTTGGTTGGAAGGTATCCTTGCAATGCCCATAAATAGCAATTATTCAACCTTTTACTAACATAATTTTGTCAAAAAGTCTATTTCACAATATCAAAATTTCATTTTGTTATCACCGATAGAAATTGTTTTATTGTCTATCGGCATTAGACAACCTAAAATAGACAATTATAAATTTTTATTATCTAATAATTTGACTGGTAATTTAAAGAACAAACCTTAAAATACTTAAAGTGAGTAGTTGCAGGAAATCAACGAACTCAAGGTGTCAAACTAATTTGTATGCTTTGGGCCTTAAATAAATTTTTGGATATGGCAACATCTTTCGATACATCTGACATTTATATAGTAAAACTTGACATTTTTTAGCACAACTCTAAACTTTATATAGAAAAAAAATCAATATTTCCAGGCTTTTGTGAGATTTTAAATTGAAGATTTAAATTAAAAAAGTTTAAAAAAGTATAGAATACATCGAAAAACTTGCTATACGCACATAAGCACACTTCATCAAACAATCGATTTGATATACGCTGATCAAAATAGTTTATCTGACAACAGATTACGGAACCAATTGCAGGAATGGATCTACCAACTGATGTACAGTACATATTATTTGACAAATTGTCGACGCTGGAATTGAATGCATTGCGAAACACATGTATGCAGTTGCAGAACTCCGTTGATGACTATATCAAGTATAAATGTGCTGTCAAGATAACAAAGACTGATGTGTACTCCATTGTTTTTAAGCACATCTACGATGTTGTAAATAAAGTAATTGACGATGAATCAGAGAAACAAGCGTTCATGTTGAACGTCGTTACCATAAACTGTGGCGAATTCTATTTTAATGACTTACAAGATATTAAACATGTGCTAGAGACATTAATGTGTCGTGTACAGAGTCGTAAGAAGGTACAGAAGACGAGTAGAAGGTTGCGATATATGTACTATAACCTGACGGTGAATATAATACTTGACGAGCTTTATGAGAGTTTCCCCTCGGAAAGTTATGAATCACATATATTGGATATAGAACAAAATATCATAAAAATGAATTTTTAAAAAAAATTGTAAATGTAGTAATACATCAATACTACTTCTTAATTACAATAAAAATATAAATGTTTTTATGAGTATATGCAATTTTATTTCAGTTTTTTGTTTTTAAAATTTTGAGAAATGGCAATTGGCTTATTGTAAAATATATGGATTTTGCCATCCGAATTTTACTTGAAAATCATAAAAATTTCTTTACTGACATCGAAATGATCACACCGCTTGATGTTCGAAAAATGATACATTAAGAGTGTTAGAAAATTTTGAACCTTGATTGTAATTATCCTTGATTATGCTTCATCAATTTATTTAAAATTTCAATTCAAAAGTCAAAAGCTGAAAAATGTAATAAAAGATTTCAAGACTATTTTCGTTACTCTGGAATATCAGATGGTGAATATTTTAATATTTTTAGAAACAACCAAAAATTATGAAAAGCTTGTGCATTCGAGAACTACAAATTACAAATACTTCCGATAATTGTAGCGTACATTCTGGTTTTTCAACCAATAATTTCAAATTGAATTAGTTATATGATTATTTCAATTGAGAATGTTCATTTTATTTTGTTAAATTTCAAGTGTCTCACAAGCGGCCACTTGCGGGGTATAAGGCTCTTTACACGCCCTCTTCTACTAAATGACATAGAAGCTTAGCGTATTCAATGGAGATTCAAGGAAGATTGCACAAAATCTCTGGTCTCGTAAAAGTTAAAAACGAGTACCAAATTAGACGAAATGCTAATCCGTATAAGTTTAATCAGAACACTAATAAAGTTAAGTATACTAAAATTTAGCAATTTCGTTGCTAATTAATAAAAATGCGCCAGTCAAAAAGGATTTTATTTGGTGCTGGTACAAAGAAAGCCTTGTGGCGAACATCTGGTTAGGAAAGTTTTTGATTCGGTATTCGTTTGAAAAAAGAGTGGTCAAGGATCACCGATCAGATGTTTGAGGTGTTTGAGTCGACACTCGCTTATGGGAAACGTTCACATTTTGGATAGAAGAACCACTCATATTTATAATTAGTTAGCAGTTTAGCCTTTTAGATTTCACTGACTACCAATCGATGATAATAAACTACTGATTTTCGCACCATATACTTCGATAAAGGTCAACTAAGTAAGTTT